CATTTTCATACAAAATAAAACGTACAAGAAACAGAAATATACAATTATATACATGGAAATGGGTTAGGAAGAACTGGACAACGCAATACAAAACACACAGAGACACACACAAACACGCACACACGCACACAGACCGACACACAACCCTCAAAACATGTAGACAATTATGTACAATGACAAAATGGCACGGAGAGTTTATTTGTATAGCACAGTTAAGGCAACTCAAAGTACTTTATAAGAAACAGTCACACAAGGGATTCTAATAAATAATCAAACAAGCAAATAAAAAGAAAGATAAAATTAAAGCTGCAAGCGGCGTCGAACGGCCCTCGCCGTACCTCACAAAGGAGGTTAACTTTGTCCTCGCAGCCATAGAACAATGATTGTAAAATATGAATATGATTAGTTGGTTTTTCTCTAAGAACTTCATATTTGGCCTCCCATGTAAAACTTTGGCTCGCTCTCTAGGGGGCGCTAATGCTGACATTTCATGTTTTTCATGTTGAGGTGACCTAGGCCCAGGAGTTAAAGCTGCACTAACTTGAAGCCGCGGACTCGCTGGCCTCTCTCTTTCTCCTCCCCTCCCCGCACACATGTTAGATATGCAACAGAACTCTAGTCTCCTGTAGATCAGGCTCTGAGCCCAAACTACTTTTCCTTCAGTTCCTTCGAAGCACAAAGCTCTCTGCTCCATAGAGCCTCGACCATGCTCCTGCTGCAGCCGCTCTGTGCTTCCTTCCAAAACACACACACGGACCAATCACAGCGGAGCTTCTCTCACACACGGACCAATCACAGCGGAGCTTCCTTGCGGCGACCCTTACGTAGTTAGAAAATGTTGATGCTGTGCGGCAGGCGACGTAAGGGCCTTGCGGTGACCAACGCGTTGACCAAGTGACGTCACGTCACCTCCGTAAGCTCCGCGCAGCGCGAGTATACACTAGGCTCTATAGTCTCCATTGGATAACATGGGAACTTCACACCTCTCTATGAAAATAACCACACTTTGGGAGTTTGTCACGCGCAGACCATTCGACTAATTCAAATTATATGAACAACTATTGATAGTCCATGTGTTGAGACCATGTGAAGCGATTTTCAGCCAAATTAGTGAAACGGTTGCGGCTGGTTTGATGTTTGAGCCACGTGTACATTTCAGGCAGGAGTCATTGCACATGATTTCAGTTGTTACTTATTTACAGATGAATGACATCAACAATCATTTATTTATTTGCAAACTGATATTTTTTTGGGGGATTTTCTCAGAATTGGTTTGAACGGGAACAGTCAAAATGACGGCTCTGGGAGTTCTAGTAAAGACCATTGTGCACTTTTTTATCACATTTGTTTTCCTGTTTTTTCCTTAAACATATAACAATAACAAACTCTCCTCCCGGACTCTGTCTTTAGACCTAGTATTGGCAAAGAACGACTCTTTGCCAATACTAGGTCTAAAGACAGAGTTGGGGAGGAGAGTTTGTTATTGTGGCCATTCCTATGTTCGAACGGTTTGGTTCTCTGTTCTGTTGTTAGAATATCGAAAACCTCGTCAGGACGACTGCTGCTGAGGCAAAAACAAATGGAATTGAATTTCCAGTTCAGATGTGGTTCCATGTTTGTAGCATTAATCATGAGAACAACAAAAGCAGAATGCGCCACAGCAGAGAGTTCGTCTACAGTTATTATTATTGTTTTTATTAATACTGTTTCCTCTTTTCCTTATCCCACATCTTCATGTCCTAATTGTGTTTGATCACAAAAAACTGAAAGGTTTGTCCCTGTGCAGCCACCGCTCACTTCTCTGTCCATGCAATGGTTTTTACAAAAGGTCTAATCTGGGAAGACGGTGTTTCCCAAACATTGGGAACATTTTCAAAAATAAAAGTAAATATCTACATATTTTTCTACATTAGATTGTGATTTATAACTATATTTGGGTCATTGTCATTGTCTCATCGGGAGGAGACCAGGATGAGACCCAGTTCCTGGAACTCCACCTTCAAGGCTTTCTGTGTGGAGTTTGCATGTTCTCCCCGTGTCTGTGTAGGTTTCCTCCGTGTGCTCTGGTTTCCCCTTCCACTAAACATGTACAATAGGTGTGTGCCTTCTGTGGCTGACCCCATTTCTGTGCTTTGATCACTATGAAGGATGACTACAGACCCCCGTCACCCGGCAATGGTTCAAGTGGAAGAAAACACTTGTTTTCATGTTTTTTCTGAACTGTCTAAATTTGGAACAACATTCAAACACTCACTCACTTTCTTACTTCAAGGTTCAGATCCTGTTGGTTCTCTCCCACTCAGTCTGTGGAGTGTTTACCACAGAAACAGACACTCGCTCTGAGGTCAGCTGGCTCCGTTTGGGTGGTGTCTGGGTGGTGTCTGGGTGGTGTCTGGATGGTGTCTGGGTGGTGTCTGGGTGGTGTCTGGGTGGTGTTTGGGTGGTGTTTGGATGGTGTTTGGATGGAGTTTGGATGGTGTTTGGATGGTGGGCCCTTTAATGATGACAGATTAGGGCCCTTTAATGATGACAGATTAGGTCCCTTTAATGATGACAGATTAGGGCCCTTTAATGATGACAGATTAGGGCCCTTTAATGATGACAGATTTTCATTCCAACCAAGCAGGAGCTCACCCGCCTCCACCCATTTCCTCGACTGAGTCCAGTCTTAAACTGGAGACTTGAGAAAATGGGTGGAGCTCAGTTATTTCCCCAGAGACTCCTGAACGTCCTGATATTCATGTTTATATAAGTGCTCAACTATTTACTGATAAAAGAAAATGGGACCCGTGGTGTACACACACACGCACACACACGCACGCACACACACGTACACGCACACACACGTACACACGTACACACACACGCGCACACACAGCATAGACTTAGTATTGCGTTTGCAAAGGGCCACAGACAGAGGCTGCGGGCAAAGACTCAGGTAAAAACGGAGATGAGAAAGTGTTGGTGTCAGCAGCGCCTTAAAAGCATATTTACATGTTCACACTGAAACACACACACTCCCCCAGGACACACACACATACACGCACTCAAACAAGACACACACGCACATATACACACAAACACTCAAACAGACACACTCCCCCAGGGCTGCTCACTTCACTTATGAATATAAAAAATACTCATTGCTGAAGCAGTAAGTACAACACGTATTAAACACATACAACACACAGACACACACAGACGCACACACGCACAGACACACACATACACAAACACACGCACAGACACACACACACATACACACACACGCTCGCACAGCATTAAAACTCGCACCAGGACGAGGGCTGTATGCATTAATCACAGCCAGTTATGTTTTTCAGATTCATTCTTTTACTGCTGTTTATCAAAGACCAGGGGTCCGGACAGCCTGTGTCTGTGTCTGCGCCTGTGTCTGCGCCTGTGTCTGTGCCTGTGTCTGCGCCTGTGTCTGCGCCTGTGTCTGTGCCTGTGTCTGCACCTGTGTCTGCACCTGTGTCTGTGCCTGTGTCTGCGCCTGTGTCTGTGCCTGTGTCTGCGCCTGTGTCTGTGCCTGTGTCTGTGCCTGTGTCTGTGCCTGCGTCTGCGCCTGTGTCTGCGCCTGTGTCTGCGCCTGTGTCTGCGCCTGTGTCTGCGCCTGTGTCTGTGCCTGTGTCTGCGCCTGTGTCTGCGTCTGCGCCTGTGTCTGCGCCTGTGTCTGCGCCTGTGTCTGCGCCTGTGTCTGTGCCTGTGTCTGCACCTGTGTCTGTGTCTGCGCCTGTGTCTGAGGAAGAAGTACTTTAACCCTAATCTAAATAGGGTTAAAGTACTCCCCCTTCTCTTTGGAAACTCCTCCCCCTTCTCTTTAGTAACTCCTCCCCCTTCTCTTTGGTAACTCCTCCCCCTTCTCTTTGGAAACTCCTCCCCCTTCTCTTTAGTAACTCCTCCCCCTTCTCTTTAGAAACTCCTCCCCCTTCTCTTTGGAAACTCCTCCCCCTTCTCTTTAGTAACTCCTCCCCCTTCTCTTTGGAAACTCCTCCCCCTTCTCTTTAGTAACTCCTCCCCCTTCTCTTTGGAAACTCCTCCCCCTTCTCTTTAGCTCCAACTGAGGGATTCTGTCTTTACTCTTTTGAATGTGATTATTTATGATGTGAATGGTGTGTTCAGTTCAGAGTCTGGTGTGTGTATTGTGCTATACAAATAAACATGTATTAACCATGGCCTCCTCACAGCTCCGTGTGTCCTTTCCGTGTTTCTGTCCCATGTTTAACTTTCTCCTTCTCTTATAAAAAAGTGCCTCAAGTGAAGACGATAAATCAAGTCAAGGTTGCTGCAGGTTTGTCTTTTTATGCGAAAGAGAAACTTCTGAGGCGTTAGGTTTTAGTGATTACTGTTGCTCTCCTGTGTGTGTGTGTGTGTGTGTGTGTGTGTGTGTGTGTGTGTGTGTGTGTGTGTGTGTGTGTGTGTGTGTGTGTGTGTGTGTGTGTGTGTGTGTGTGTGTGTGTGTGTGTGTGTGTGTGTGTGTGTGTGTGTGTGTGTGTGTGTGTGTGTGTGTGTGTGTGTGTGTGTGTGTGTGTGTGTGGGGAAGAGGAAGAGGAAGAGGAAGAGGGGGCAGAGGGAGTGATGCTTTCAGGGCTCGCTCCTGCCGCTCCTCAGGGCTGCACCGTGAGCTGTCATTTGCATCAGAGTCTGAAGGACAGGACTAACATGAAGTGGAAGAGCAGAAGAGACAATTCTGACAGAACAAACTCTAAGGGCTGATGCTTTCTGCTGCGGGGGGGGGGGGCAGAGGAGGGAGGAGGGGCAGAGGAGGGAGGAGGGGAGGGGAGGGGGGGCAGAGGAGGTAGGAGGGGCAGAGGAGGGGAGGGGAGGGGGGGCGGAGGAGGGGAGGGGAGGGGGGGCAGAGGAGGGAGTCGGAGCTGGTCTCTGGGTTATAGCAGATGGTGTGCGTGTGTATTTGTGCGTATGTCTGTGTGTGTGTGTGTCTGTGTGCGTGTGCGTGTCTGTGTGTGTGTGTGTCTTTGTGTGTGTGCGTGTGTACGTACTGAAATCATGTCATGTTTTTTACGACTAAAGCAGAGTTTCAGGGCGTCCTGTTTTGGATGTTGTTAAAAGTTTAAATTTTTTTAAGCTTTTTGTTTTCCTCGTCACAGTTCTGTCCCGATGTCTCGAGGGTCTCAGGACATTTATGAACGTTTCAACACCACAGAAACATCCTTCACTATGTTCCAATGTCTTTGTTATTATGCTCCTCATTCCTACTGTTCTTTAACTAGTAATGCAACACTGAAATTTCCCCACTGCGGGACGAATAAAGGATCTCTTTATCTTAATTATTTCTGGTGTTGGAGCAGTTTGATTCTCTGATCTGTTGTTGGTGAATCGACAACTCTGTGAAGTCCTCTGAGACGACTTCTGCTGTGGTTTAGAGCGACCCCAAAACACATCGAATGACATTAAAAGTTCAGTTAAAAGAGATGATTGAAGCAAAATAGACTCAATATTTGTTCCTCTTCAGAAACAGACCTGGAGTTGTTTTTAGATCCATCCATTATCGGACACTTCTGGTACAAACCTGTCGCTTCACTCCTTCTGTCTGAAAGTTTCAGTCCTTCTGTCTGAAAGTCTCAGTCCTTCTGTCTGAAAGTCTCAGTCCTTCTGCCTGAAAGTCTCAGTCCTTCTGTCTGAAAGTCTCAGTCCTTCTGTCTGAAAGTCTCAGTCCTTCTGTCTGAAAGTCTCAGTCCTTCTGTCTGAAAGTCTCAGTCCTTCTGTCTGAAAGTCTCAGTCCTTCTGTCTGAAAGTCTCAGTCCTTCTGCCTGAAAGTCTCGGTCCTTCTGTCTGAAAGTCTCGGTCCTTCTGTCTGAAAGTCTCGGTCCTTCTGCCTGAAAGTCTCGGTCCTTCTGTCTGAAAGTCTCGGTCCTCTCTGTCTGAAAGTCTCGGTCCTTCTGCCTGAAAGTCTCGGTCCTTCTGTCTGAAAGTCTCAGTCCTTCTGTCTGAAAGTCTCAGTCCTTCTGTCTGAAAGTCTCAGTCCTTCTGTCTGAAAGTCTCGGTCCTTCTGTCTGAAAGTCTCGGTCCTTCTGTCTGAAAGTCTCGGTCCTTCTGTCTGAAAGTCTCGGTCCTTCTGTCTGAAAGTCTCGGTCCTTCTGTCTGAAAGTCTCGGTCCTTCTGTCTGAAAGTCTCGGTCCTTCTGCCTGAAAGTCTCGGTCCTTCTGTCTGAAAGTCTCAGTCCTTCTGTCTGAAAGTCTCAGTCCTTCTGCCTGAAAGTCTCAGTCCTTCTGCCTGAAAGTCTCAGTCCTTCTGCCTGAAAGTCTCGGTCCTTCTTTCTGAAAGTCTCAGTCCTTCTGCCTGAAAGTCTCGGTCCTTCTGCCTGAAAGTCTCAGTCCTTCTGCCTGAAAGTCTCAGTCCTTCTGCCTGAAAGTCTCAGTCCTTCTGCCTGAAAGTCTCGGTCCTTCTGCCTGAAAGTCTCAGTCCTTCTGCCTGAAAGTCTCAGTCCTTCTGCCTGAAAGTCTCAGTCCTTCTGCCTGAAAGTCTCAGTCCTTCTGCCTGAAAGTCTCAGTCCTTCTGCCTGAAAGTCTCGGTCCTTCTGTCTGAAAGTCTCGGTCCTTCTGTCTGAAAGTCTCGGTCCTTCTGCCTGAAAGTCTCGGTCCTTCTGTCTGAAAGTCTCAGTCCTTCTGCCTGAAAGTCTCAGTCCTTCTGCCTGAAAGTCTCAGTCCTTCTGCCTGAAAGTCTCAGTCCTTCTGTCTGAAAGTCTCGGTCCTTCTGCCTGAAAGTCTCGGTCCTTCTGTCTGAAAGTCTCAGTCCTTCTGTCTGAAAGTCTCGGTCCTTCTGTCTGAAAGTCTCGGTCCTTCTGCCTGAAAGTCTCGGTCCTTCTGTCTGAAAGTCTCAGTCCTTCTGTCTGAAAGTCTCAGTCCTTCTGCCTGAAAGTCTCAGTCCTTCTGCCTGAAAGTCTCAGTCCTTCTGCCTGAAAGTCTCGGTCCTTCTGTCTGAAAGTCTCGGTCCTTCTGTCTGAAAGTCTCGGTCCTTCTGCCTGAAAGTCTCGGTCCTTCTGTCTGAAAGTCTCGGTCCTTCTGTCTGAAAGTCTCGGTCCTTCTGCCTGAAAGTCTCGGTCCTTCTGTCTGAAAGTCTCAGTCCTTCTGTCTGAAAGTCTCAGTCCTTCTGTCTGAAAGTCTCAGTCCTTCTGTCTGAAAGTCTCGGTCCTTCTGTCTGAAAGTCTCGGTCCTTCTGTCTGAAAGTCTCGGTCCTTCTGTCTGAAAGTCTCGGTCCTTCTGTCTGAAAGTCTCGGTCCTTCTGTCTGAAAGTCTCGGTCCTTCTGTCTGAAAGTCTCGGTCCTTCTGCCTGAAAGTCTCGGTCCTTCTGTCTGAAAGTCTCAGTCCTTCTGTCTGAAAGTCTCAGTCCTTCTGCCTGAAAGTCTCAGTCCTTCTGCCTGAAAGTCTCAGTCCTTCTGCCTGAAAGTCTCGGTCCTTCTTTCTGAAAGTCTCAGTCCTTCTGCCTGAAAGTCTCGGTCCTTCTGCCTGAAAGTCTCAG